ATTCCTCTCTGCCAGCTGCGTCCTCACCCAGGGCTCTGCCTAAAAAGGGAGCTTCTGATCCCTTCTCTGTAATGCTTTCCTGAGCCTCAGGCACCACAGAGAAAAAAAGCTCCTTGGCTGAAGGGGCTCCCCGTTTCTGTGACAGCAAGTGACCACATGCAAGCCGTGTTGCTGCCCATGCTTCAGTCCCACAGCATCTTCTGCTCAGACACCTCCCTCCTTTTCCTTCACAAGCCAGGAGACACCCTCGAGCCAGCGAGGTCTGGGGGATTAATTAACCCGCTGCTCTCTCAAGAGCAGTGAAGCCATGTGAGCCCAGAGGGAGAAGGATGGAGGTATCCTGCACTAGCAGCTGCTCCCAGCAAGCCCATGGCCACAGCTCGTGGGCAGTGCTGCCCTTCCTGGGGGGGTGGTTGTGGCTCCAGCCCCCAGCACACCAAGGCCCTCAGCAGCCTTGCTGGAGGCCCACGCTCCTCCCATGGCACCAGGCGGCTGTACCTGGGAGAGAGATCTCGTGGTCCGGATGAGGAGCAAGCCTGTCATCTCTCCCTCATCTGCACAGTCAGGCCTAAAAATATCCTGGGAGTGGGCTGATGGTGGTTGTGCTACAGTCTCCATTACGCAGATGGAAACGGCTGGTCCCTGCCAGCGCAGGGCAGCGCCAGCTCTGCCACCCTGCACCAGCACAGGGCATCGGGATCCTGTGCCCTGCCTCAGTAGTCGCTGCAGCAGAGGCGTGCTGGGGACAGTGCTCAGCGCAGAGCACCCTGGCCAGGCGCAGCATCAGGGCTGGGGCTGTCCCAGCCAGGGGACACAGGCAGCTCCACAGGGATCGTCTGTCCTGGGTGCTCAGGAGTGGGGAACAGGGGGTTTCACAGCCTGCTGCCATGAAACCCTAACAATGATGAAACAGGGTGCTGCCCAGACACCCCATGACAAGTCAAAAGTGCACGCGGGCAGCCAAACCGGCAGCATTGTGGGTGCAAGCGCAGCGGGACAGGGAGCTGGAGGGCAAGCGAGCAGAGCAGCAGCAGGAAGGCAGGCTGAGCCCACAGGAAAAGCCAGAGAAGCAAGAGCATGGCTGAGTTTGCAGCCCATCTGGGAAGAGGGCTGGCCTTGCGCCCTGCAAAACGCAAAGCTGTCAGCTCCTCCCCTTCAATCCCTGCACATCCTAAATCCACAGGGCCCGAGAGCAAGCGTGGCTGCTGACGCTGAGCCCCAGGCAATCGTCCACCCAATAAAGCTGACTGAGTGGGAAAAGGAGTAGAGACGCTGCTGGAGGAGCCGGGAGGGACATGCCAGGTCTTGTAGGAATGGCTTACAGGGTAAGAGCACAAGTCCAGCCCCAAGCAGAGACTCTCGCTCTGACACAGACTCATGGCCAGCAGGCAGAGCCCATGCCTTCCCCTGGAAATGCTAGCAGGTCAGGGTAGGAGGGATGGCCATTTTGGGAAAGCAACAACAGCCCCATAAGAGCTGCCCAACACAGGGGGCCAGGTTCACCACCTCATCCCCAGGCTGTCCCCCTACCACTCCAGCATTCCCTGGAGAGCTGCCTCCCCAAGAAGGAGCCCAGGCTCAGGGCAGAGCACACCGTGGCAGGGTAAACGCCAGCCATGCAGCACTGCCTTTGCAACAGGCAAGAGGCTTCTTCAGGATCCAGCCCTACACGTGGGCTAGGAGCCCAGGACCACGCAGGGGGCGACAAGCTCCCACCTGAGCTGTCCTTGCACCCTAATCCCACTGGCAGCCATATCATCCCTCCGTAGCTGTCTCTTCTCTCTTGCTCCAGAGCCAGTCAGCAGAATACCTGTCCACCCTCCTCCCAAACCAACAGCACACGGGACACAAGATCTTAGCACCCAGCCCAGCATCCCGCAGCCCTCAAGTGCATGATCTGCTACTCGCTTCACTTGTTATCAGCCATTAGACCCAAAACACCCTCTGCACTTGCTGCTGCTGTGCACGACTGCGCTGGGGTGCATGGACCACATCAGCACCCATGTGGGCCCCCCGCCAGCTTGCAAGCGGCTGCAGGGACTATGGAAGCAGAAGGGCTCATGGCAGCCCTGCCCTCTGCTGCAGCATCCCTCCTGCCAGCCCAAGGGCCCACTGCAGCCAACACCATCACCACTGGCTGGGCCGGGGGCGCCCAACGG